TTCTGATACATGTTTCGTAACTAAAATTTTATGTAGAGCACGATGCGCACATAGAAAATTACCGAAATTAACTCCTTACGAAGATATTTGATGATTCTTGATGCGTGAATTCAAACCACCCGCTCTACTCGCTCAACCCGCTAAAACTCAATGCTCTACGTGATTCACATCGCGCGCTAAACGTTATCATGACAGTCTCTGCGATGTAAAAATCTGGCAACCTCAGTCTTGACGCTTTGGCTCAGCTGTAGCAAATTGCTTATAGTTTGAACAACACATTGTGGAAAATGATCATTGCTCGATTGAGAGGCTTGCAGAAACCGTTGTAGTGCGCGATTTGACTCGCGTAGAGCTTTGAGTTTCTTGTAAGCGGACAGTTCGAATTCCTTGTAGCCAATGTGAAATAAAAACGTTAATATCTTTGTTAGGAGTTGGTTTCAGTAATTCCCGTTGTGTGAATCGTGTTCTACGTGAAATTCTGAGTAAGAAACATGTATTAGATTGCTTAAATTCGTACCTTGTCTAGTGGTCCATTGGGTACCTTAATTTTGTTCATGAAAACGGATGTGCGGATGCATTGTGTGAAACAAATTCCTTAAAATTTTTAGAGAAAACCGCACAAACGGTGTCTCTTAAAAAATTAAACTACCCAGTCATATTTGGCAATAGCTGCTCAAGGATATCTCATATTTGTACAGCAGGATAAAAATTATATGTTTTACCAATGCCGAGTAAAATTCAGCGGGATAACTTTGAAAATGGAGCCTTGCAAGGGATGAAAATGATTGGCCACTGCGAAAAATACAAAATACGAAAGAAAACTATTCCATGATTTTGACAAATTTTTCGAGACCCGCAGTTTATTCTATACTATTTTTCATAATTTTTGCTGTGGTGAAGCATTGAAATTCTTGGCAAGGATCTATTTCCAAAGTTTTACCGCCGAATTTGACGGCAGATTCACAAAAACTGTCCTTTTGGTGATGCTTTGCTTCCTTGATTGTGCCGCCTTAAGGAACGTAGTTGTTTAAAGAATTCCCATGAAAACGCCTCAAAGGCGTTCAATTCGTGCCCTATCTTGTGGTGAATTTTCAATACAAAATGGCCGCAGCAGCCTTCGAGTAAAAATACAAATTCGGAGCAGGAATGCCGAGATGTAGCTATAGGTTCCTTCGTCTGGAAAAGGACGTACTGTCTCGAGAGGGTTGTTGTAAAATTGGCTCCTGAGCCTGAGTTCCGATAAACGGAGGTACTTCTGTGTCGTAAAATATTGGCGACGCATTAAATACGAATAAAACGGCGACTGTAGACTTTCCGCTCATAAACTCCGTCTGAATCTTCCTCATGCTCGACTCAAACGACTGTTGATTTCCCTTCGCCGTGGGAATAAGTCCTCTAATTTAACCATTCCCTCGCAAATTTTCGATTTTGTTTTTATTCATCATCTCGCGGGCCTCCCTTCGAAGGGATTTGATTTGCCATTTCGACATAAAACAGACATATTTCTTCGAACATGGAAAAAAGCTAAAAATTGTACATTCAGTTTTATAGAGTTTCTGAGGGATTTCAGTTCGGTTTTGAGAAAAAATTGCGTGTGTATATGGGTAGTCATTCAAAGTCATTCCTCTGACTACATTTATTCCCTTAATAAGGTTCCATATGGTTTACTTTGTGACTAAGAGAAGTTTAAGGATGCCTTTAATATAGCATCATGAAAAATACAATTTTCACGAAACTCAAGTAAAATTCAACAATAAAACTTGAGAAATATATTCGACGAGGTAGGAACAATGCAACAAGATGCTATTGAATAGAAAGCCAAGTGCTCGCACTGTAATTTCCCCGTAGTCAACTTTGCATGATCTTTCACACTAACTTCTTTGTAGTCAAAAATGAGTATTGGAACTCTTTTTGAAAAGAGCAAATATTCAGCTTGTACATTCTTATTTCCCTTATTCCCGTAGCAGGATACCAATTGAAACCGCATCGCATACTCCTCTCGAAAAATAAGTGCCACAACCTGCTGATCCGTAGAGTCAAGTTCTCTTATTGAGCTTTTAATAATAAAGTTGTGCATACTTTATTGAAAACGGCGAATGTAATAAGTCGACAGTGAGCAGGAGGAATTTCTCCGAGGATCGGGAGTCTGTGTGACGTATCTCGCTCGGATTTCACGCCCTAAACTTCGCTTTTTGATTGAAGTTTTGTTCTTCTCTTCTTTTCCTTTGGCGGAACTATTGTGATCAACTGAGTCGCAGCGGAAATTTGAGAATTCACTTGGAATTAAGTCACACACGACACCTCCCATATTGTCGCATCTCTGACGCAAGGGCGTATCTTAATTTACACCTGAGCCGTGGGCTTAATGTATTTCTATGATTTCCATGGCTCATTTGGAAATAGAATTACGCCCTTGCGCCTACAGAGAAACGACAATATTCGTGACGGAACTGAATCGTTGCCTCAATGCTGCCGTGCTGAGCAAAAACGTCGTATGAACATTCGAGAGTTGCCAAATTTTCTACGATTAAATATTTTTATTTGAAGAAGAATAATATGATTATTTATTCTTGTAATTCAGGAGCTTTAAGCGAGCTTGCGAACAAAATTATATAATAAATTGGAGAAAAATATGAATATGTTTACTAGGAAATTCTTGAATTATCAAAGGAAATTTGGCAACGACTGAGGGCTCATATGACGTTCTTCCTTAGCACGGCAGAATGGGTTGAAGTCGTTGTCGTTCCTTAAGCAGCTTCTTTCCTGAAAGGGACCCTTTTAGTTTACGCTGTGATTAAGGGCGGTAAAATGAGGAAGCTCACAATATGGCATCCTCAAATGAAAAACTTTTGCTACCCTTGAGTAAAATTTAACAGTACTTTTTTAGTAGTTTCGTCACACTTTGATTTTGAATATAAAAATTTATATTCAAAAGTATGTGTAAAAAAATCGATGTTTATAAATATGGATTACCTCTCCCAGAGTCGATTATTCGTTGTGGATTTAAAAGAAGGAAAACAGTGTCAAGAAACAACGTATCACCGCTCCTGCGTGTCACAACCGGATTCATAAAAAGTTACGTTTGGCGATTCTATGAATCAATCGTTACAAATTAATTACGGGTTCTTTCCTCTCAACAAGAGGGCAAATATCCTAATATTCTGTAGTTTTATAGTTTGGATGCGTATTTTTTACAGATCAATCGAGTTGGTCGTTAAATCGTTTTATGGGCCGGTACATAAAGCTCACTCTGCAATGCCACCTGAAATCACCTTAGCGTTCAACAGTTTACAGCTTAATTTAACGATGCCAGAATTTTATTTTTGATGCAGCTGCAAGCATATGGTTGGTAGGTACACAGAAAAGATAACTGTCGAGTTTCAGATGAGCCTGGCAAAAAATCAGCGTAATGTCGCATAAAATTACTTTTTTCCAACGGGTTGATTTGATGCTGAAATGTACGACTACTTTTTAAGGCTTCGTTGTTAAAATGTCCGGTTCAGAGGTAGCAGTGATAATTTTTGCGAAACATGTTGGATTTTTTCCCGTATTGTAACATTGAGGTACATTTACCAATAAAAAGACTTGCTTTAGCCTGGAATGTCTCCAAAAAACCATTAAAGGCAAGTCTCCAACTTCTGGTCTGTCTTTCACTATAAACAGATCATGAAAATATCAACGGTTAGAACGATAGTCATCAAAGGGCGCTCTTTCTTAGCATGTCAGAATACGGAACTAGTCGCAGAGAACCCCCACTGGCCTCTTGGCGACAGGTGGAAACTTTTACTTTTGGGGGTTTAACACTCCCTAACGGACAAAAGGGAGTCATATCGTATCTACTGAGTGGATGATGAGCTTCGATTGACGTGATGAGTCAAAAAAGTTTGCTAAACTTCGATTAGTTTGAAAACCGAGATATATGTCGCAGGTTAATAGGAAAATTCGGCATTTTGCAAAATGCCTAGGCAAATACGAAAAAAGGCAGTGAAAGCATTGAAATGTCTCTATTTGCCTAATCTGCCGTGCTAATGAAAAATGCCGTATGAACATTCGAGTGTTGCCAAATTTCCTTCGATAAAATGTTCATTTTCGAGGAAAGCTATGAATATTTTTTCCAGGAAGTTTCAAAAATTTCAGATGAAATTGCGAACAAAATTACATGAAAAATTAGAAGAGAAATATTTAAAAAAATTTCCGAAGAATTCGTGATTTACCGAAGGAAGGTTGGCAACGTCTGAAGGCTCATTCGGCGTTTTTCCTTAGCACGGCAGTAATGCTTAGACATTTATGATGAAAGTGACTAGGCATTTTGGAAAGTGCTTAGTCATTTCCGGAAGTGCTTAGCCATTTTCAAAAAAGCCTAGGCAAATAAGCGAACATGACATTCATTAAAATTTCCCTATTTGCCGCGGCATTTTGCAAAACGGCGTATTTTCTCAAGAACCTGCGATATTTACAACACGTTGTTCAACATATACCTAGTTTTTTTATTTTTTTTTTTATTTATTTATTTTTTTATGTGTGTGTGTGCCGCACACGGTGGTTTTAAAATTTCCAAGGAAACACCCAGATCCGCATAGAGAAAAAAAAGGAGGTGTTTGCATTTCGGGCATCTTGGAATTTTTTGATGACTTGATGACGCAGGTGGGTACAGCGACGTTTAGCGTGAAGGGGACGTCGCTGTACCCACCTACGTCATCAAGTCATCAAAAAATTCCAAGATGCCCGAAATGCGAACACCTCCTTTTTTTGCTCTATGCCAGATCCGTAGTGCCTGGAGTCCCGAGAGTTAAAGCTTCCATCACTGCCAAGATAGCGATGGAGGGTCTTTGGTCTCTGGCTAGTCCACCCACGCACCTGCGTCACGAGAGTGAATGAATTCGAGGGGGGGAGGGGGTCAATAAGACGACGACAGTATCGAGATGCCTCTATATCTTGGAAAAGGGGGAGCATTGATGGATTCTGAGGATTAATGCACTGTTGCGATTGATGTGTTGCAGATATATCTACGTTTGTCACGCACCGGTGGCCCGGACGTGGTGCACGATGCCCCGAGTCCTCAAGTGTATAACGTGGATCGGGATCCTGGCCACGCTCCACCAGTCGACCCGCTTCCTCGACAAGGTCTACGAGCCGGTCACCATCACTTGGAGAGGACAGCATCCCATCACCGTCTGCAGGGTAAGTCCCTCTGCGATATTTTTGTCCGATTTTGATTCTTTAAATACTCAAATCTCGAGGTGAGTGAAACGTAGGTATGCTCTTGCTGACCCTTTCGACTCCCGCTCGGCGGTCGGCTTGAAACGCATAGCGCCTGCAAGACTGCATGAATACTTCACGCATTGCGTCAAACACACTGCGCTCAGCAGCAGTCGGCTTGAAACGCATAGCGCCTACAAGACTGCATGAATACTTCACGCATTGCGCCAACGTGCGATCAGCGCAGTGCACAGTGGATAGAGTCAATAGGAGAGGTCGGACAAAATTTGGAAACTGTAAAAACTTATAACTCGTTCATACAAAACTTTGAGGTTTTGAAAGTGGTCCCATTGGCTTCCTCGTAACATTTTCTTTTGGAAACACTCCTTAAAATTTAAAGTGTGACGAATTAAACATCAAAATTTGCCGTTTTAGTCGAAAATTTCATGTCCGACCTCTCTGATTGATTTTATAAATTATGTATTATCACAGCGTATTGGCTCTCGTCCTAATTTTTTTTAAAAAGATTCTCGATGAAATCGCCTTTCTATCTCTTTCGCTCCAATGTGGACCTGTCAGTTGTTCTTACGATTCGTTTTTTTTTTGGAGGGGGGGGGGAGAAATGTCCAACCAGATGGTTAAAAGCGCACTATCACTATTTGGTTGCAATGTGAAGCTCTTACTTCTCTCTTAGCAGCTCTTCTCTCGAAGATGTGTTCTCGACCAAGGACAATGCCTAGTTTTTATTGCTGAAATACTCTCGTCTCATAAATTCTCGCTCCCCTGTAAATTACTTTTTCTCCTTATTGACTCACCAGCCCATCACTCGAGCACAGATGCCGTATTGAACCATATTCCCGCTATTCAGCAGAATGTTGCCGAAGCATTTTCAGAGTTATACAACTGAATTTTACTCGACGTTTGCAAAAACTGCACTAAAAAAATTAAATTGCTGATTTAACCATTCAATTGCTAAAAAAAGTGTTTGCAATGTTTCAAAATAGATTTTACAACAACAAAATGCTACTTTAACCACTATTCAATATTTAACCACGGGGGACGGGGGTGGTTAAAGTATCATTTTTTTGTTGTAAAATCTACATTGAAACATAACAGTCACTTTTTTTAGCGATTGAATTGTTAAATCAGCAATTTAATTTTTTCCGTGTGTCTATTTTCTTCTGCCATGTTCACGGTTCGTTTACACAGACCTCACCGTTTCACTATTGTCAACTATTCGGTTCCTTCTGGAGAAGGGAGCAGTTTAAGGAACGAATATGAATTCAGCCCTGACAAGCTCTAGGAGGATGTAGAAAACTGTGGTGGTCAATCGTTACATATACACTAGAAGAATTTTCAACACAAAAGTTTGGTTAATACGGGAAGTAAAACACAAAATAACCTTATAGCCTTCGGTTGAAAATTCCAAGAGAAGATGCCACTTATCTCGGAGAAATTAAATAAAAAACGAGTGGTGAATACTAACGTTGCAATCGGAGGAATGCATTTTCCCAGACTCTTCATTTTTTTCTGCGCTAAATTCACCGCAAACTCTACCAAAGCCAACACAAAATGTGTATTGGTTTGTGTTTCACTTCCTATATGAACCAAAACCAACACAAGATCACAACTATATTTATCGGCGCAGGACAGCGAGGTCTTGGGGTTTTCGAACATGAGTGACTTGAGTTTATTGTAAAACCTTAAGAATAAGGTAGATGTGCTCATCATGAATTAAATCTGAATCGTTTTAGGTTTCTAGCGTGTTCATTTCCGATGAAAAAATTTAAACCGCCATTGATCGACGACACACTAGTATGGTACTATAGGGAACAGAGGCAAAAGGGGATGCCCATGGATTACGTAACACTTTAGAGGGTAGGTGGGTCTTCGTTTCGTAACTATCCTGGATTTCGAATTTTTTTAAATTTTAAGTTTTAAACTGTGCCCAAATCATCACAAAATGTGTATTGATTTGTGTTCCACTTCCTTTAGTAACCAAAATTAACACAAGAACACAAATAATTTCATCAGTGTAGTGCCAGAAAATGTCGTGAAAACGGCTATTGCTGTCCGCGGGTTTCAGGTTAGGATACTCGTCGGAAAGGTTTCCCCTATTCTGCCGTGCTAAGGAAAAACGCCGTCTGAGCCATCAAACGTTGCCAACTTTCTTGCTTCAATAAAATACAAATTTACCGGAGCAATTTTGAATTTTTTTCTTCAAATTTCTTAGACATCATTATTTGTAATTTAATCCAGAAGGTCAACAAATTTCAAGGAAAAATGGACCGCGTTTAAAAGAAAGGAACCAAGCCACATCAGCCGTTGCCAAATTTAACTGGGGAAATTTAATTTTTTGCGAGAGAACAGTTATGCGGATTGCTTTGAAATGTTTAAGGAATTTGCTTCGAACTATAGAGAAAATTCACTGAAATTTGCGCAAAAATCCGCATAACCTTTTTCATGTCAAAAATTAAATTGCACGATTATATTTGGCAATAGCTAATTTGGCGTTTCTTTCTGTGAAACGCGGTCCAAATATGCATAACTTTCCCCAAAAATACATGTTTTATTCGGGGAAATTTGGCAGCTCGCGAATGTTGATACGGCGTTTTTCCTTAGCACGGCAGTATCGGAAGATCCGGAAAATATGATTGATTCATGGTGTGCCCGTCCGGATGGGATCGAGAGGAAGCCATCGTGGCATGAGCGGGAGCTCCGCGGACGAGGTGAAGTCGAGTAATTTAGCGGCAAACGACGCAATTCGTCTCGAAACCGGGCCCGCGCCGCCGCTGAATGAGAAATGAGCGAAATAAGAAAGCCATAAAACTGACTCTTTTTACCGCTCCATTCTCTCTCCTCCGGCCCTAGTGCCTCTGCCCACCTTTTCCAGGACACACCTTCCCGCCCGCCTCCACCCCTCTCCCAGTTTACCTTTTTGAGGGCTTCCTTCATCCCATTGCCCCGATTTTTCACGCTGTACAATGAGCAGTTCCATGGACCACTAGACACGGGAAGAGTGGGTTTTACTTGCCTGTGCTCAGGAAAAACCCTGCACAGTGGATCCATTCAATGGGAGAGGTCGGACAAAATTTGGAGACTTTTTACGATTTTGACTCCGATTATTAACGATTAATGTCAGCTCATTGCTGATGTTGAACTTTATGGTTAAAAATGTGGAATTTCCCAAATTTTATATTTTGTCTTGTGTTACCTATATATCTAAAATGTGTTTAAAGATATTTAACTGTGTTATGTGCCTGATGATGAATCATTGTATTCGAAAGGTCCTCGCGCCATAAAATAAAGGATGTATAACAAGGTATCAAGGCTACAGGCTACTACTTATTCTTCTATTATTACTTTAGATATCTTATACGGAAAGATCCTAGAAGAAAAAACAGTTTCAAAGGAGGCGCTGCTTGTTACCATGTCAGTTCATAAGAATTCCGCGTGAAATGACGCGACAGCAATTAAAACGCCTTCCAAGAATTGAATAGGCACACCGAGCTCCTAGGAGTTCGAATAGTTGTATCACGCCCAACAGCACATTTCTTAACGGCGCGTTTTATGAAGCGTGTAGGTTTTATGAGTGGTGTGTTTGGAACTTGAAAAATTAATTAACTTCAAAGAATTAATTTGAATATTGGTCCTTATTTCATCCACTCCAAATCATGAGTAAATTTTCCGTAAAGTTTACAAAAGAAAAATAAAACATTAGTTTTAAAAGAAACACGTAATTTTTTCGAGAATATTTTGGCATGCAGAGTGTCATCGCATTCTTTTAGTCCTTAAGAAGACCGCCGTATGAGCCCTCTGACGTTGCCGAATTTCCCTTGTCAAATCACACATTTTCAGGAATATGTTGAAATATTTTTCCTCCGAATTTTAAACATTTTTTGTCAAAGTCATTTTTCAAGATCTCTTCAAAATAAAGTGTAGACAATAGACAATATATTTCAATGTAAAAAACCTCAAACTTACAATCAAAGCAATGAACTTGAGAAAGGCAACAGTTGAATTGGAGATCAACGCTTTTTTGGCCCAATGCTGGGTGATGAGCTACTTCTTGAACTAAAAATTCGGAAACTTCTTGAAATAAAATTCAAGAAATGATGACCGATGAGTGTCGGGGTGAGCACTTCCCTCTGCGAGTCCTAGCGAATTAGAATAAGATTGCGAAACCAATGCTGAACCCTACGGGTCAGCAGTCATCATCAGGCAAATCTAAGCGTTGTCTTCCAAATGTACTGTTTAAAAAATTGGCAAGATGGCAGAGCTGGAGTCTCTGAACTAGACTGTCTCCCGTTTGGCCTTTTTTCATAATTTTCCGGTTATTGTCAGGTATTAAACACTTGAAAGTCATGTTTCGGAAATTCTAAGGTAGCGTTCAAACAAAGGTTCAAATCACTGGCTTTGAGCTACTCCGCCGTGCTAAGGAAGAACGCCGTATGAACGTTTAGGCGTTGCCAAATTTTCTTTGGTACATCACGAATTTCCGGGAAAATTTGTAGATATTTTTTAGATAATTTTTTTTGCAATTTTACCTCAAGTCCTTGAAAATTTATCGGAAAAATATTCTCAACTTTCCTCAAAAATGAACATTTTATGAAAGGAAATTTGACAACTTTCGAATGTTCATACGGCGTTCTTACTTAGCACAGCACTATTCTCCGCAGGCGCAAAGCGCCCGTCAAGGCATGGGCTGCGTAGCGCCCAGGGTGCCCCCTACTTTAACACCAATCGGGCAAAATACACCCTCCCTTCAAAATTCCGACCTTCAAAACCCAAAAAAATCGGTCTGCTTTCTTCTATCCCGCGCTTCACGAAGCGCAAGAAGAAAAAACCGCACGGCGACCGGGTGACTTGCAACCCCACTCGAAACTTCTGACGTGCTAAGCGAAAACCGCGCAACCCCTTCGCGAGCCCTCCACAGATGCGTGGTTCCAGACTCCGCGGGATGCTCAATTACGCTCCAGTTT